TTTCTACTTCTATAACAAACGCATTTTTCTTAATTTTGGACTTATGCCACTTATCAATTAAGGGGCTCATATATAACAATTAAATAAAATGAGAGATTACAAATGAAATTATTTATTTTCTTGAAGTGATATAATTTCTTTTCATTTTCTTTATAAAAACTGATAATTTCTAATATAATTGCTGAAAAACATATCTATAAACTTTAGAAATTTTATTTTGTTACATGAAGGGAACATATATACGAATCAAATTACATATTAATTTTTTTTAAATTGCATATAGAATATAACTATTAGAGTCGATTTTGAAAAACAGATTTTTTTTCTTTTTTTCGATGCTGTTATTGAGTGTGATATTACACAGGAAAATTTTGTGAGATAAAATGGCAGTTTTATGTGATACTGTTCCTAGAAGCAAACCTTTCGTCGTTTTAAGCGCGTCAAAGCAAACGGATGTAAGCCGGTTAGTCGGAAACGTGCAAGATAGTAATTCGCGCAATGAAATTTTTTATCATAAAATTTTTCTCTCGTCCTCCATTCTTTTTAAACTTTCACCCCTTTGAAGTGGTCCATGACACTGACATTACGTCACAAAATTAAAACGAAGATCAACAATCCAGTATGTAAACGAAACCACATTGCAACTTTATACGCGTCTTGCGGCTCATTAACAGTAGCTATTGTAGTTAAAAGGTTAAATTCTTAAACAGATAGATCATGGTCAGCCTTCCGTCAGTCTATATTATTCCTGGATTTGATTAAGAAGTTAAATTCTGCGAACAATGTGATATTTATCTAGTACAAGAACATTTAAAATCTTATTACTAGTCTTATTACTAATTTAAATCAGAGCTTTAAGGATTAACTTCAATTTCATAGTTTTTAATCTAACTTCATTTTCTCGAGTTATCTTAAGAAGTTTAATTACATTATTCTGCTTCACTGAGCTTCAATCGCACCACTAAATAAGCTGAATAAAATAAGAAAAATACTCATCTTTAATGAAATTTAGCATTGCAAATTATTTTTCCATTTCAAAATACGTATGTTTGATTCATGGTGCTGATAATTAATATTCCTGCACTTAAAATGCGATATATTCTCTATGTTTGAGTCATGGTGCTGATAATTAATATTTCTACACTTGAAATGCCATGTATTCAAATAAATGTATGTGTGTGAATACGTATGTGTGATTAATTCTATCGGTAGAAAAATTCTACTATTTGTTGCTTGACTTTTTAGTGATTTCTCCAATATTAAATTACAATGATAAAAGCTTGTTTGATTAAAACAGATGCGGCATATTTACGCGATAGCGACACGCCTCTGTATAATTGATGACAACATAAACGCATGAGAATTATTGTTGACAGTTTGCATCCCTTCACAACTACATTACAATGATGAATTATTTGTACGAATAATTGCGATAATCCTATTAAATCCCACATATACTCTATATAACTCATGCCACGCGGATTACATGCTTCCGTGCGAGTAATAAAAAGGAAACGATACTTTTGCAATATTTCCTTTCCTTTAATATAACTCTGCCATGTTATTTACGTAAAAGTAATATAGAAGCTAATGAAATGTTCCCTTTCATAAGAGTTCAAGCTTGTGAAAAACATAAAAACAATTTTTTACCAGAAAGCGTTCTACGTAAATTTAAAAGTCGAAAGAACTGCGAATTTCAGTTTAATTAATATAATCATTATTCTTAAATGCAGGAAAAGTTCAATCGTATTTATTAAAATTAACAATAATAATAAAGGACTCTTGATAATAATACGAAATAAATGTAATAATAGGGCATATAAGAGTCAATAACAAATTAAATTATATATTAAAAAACGAAATATTACATGTTTCGATCTTTGAATTAGACCCTCTTCAGATATTTACTAAATATAAAGATGTTACCATGATTTAATAGTGTTGATTGTGAAAAAAATATATCAAAATCACATGTCGTGTGAACAATTGAACGTTAAACAGAGGAATCGAAATTGCTCGTCAAAAGGTTGGAAGGCCGATTGAACAGAATTTCATGACGTTCAATATGTCAAAAAATATAATTCGATGATATAATACTCGTCAACTCTCTATTAGTCAGTGTAGTAATAATAATATATAATCTTAGTCATAATGTAAAATCCACATAGTTTCACAAATTATATAAAATTGTATTCTTTAATAATGATGTATTTTTTTCACAATCAACACTATTAAATCATGGTAACATCTTTATATTTAGTAAATATCTGAAGAGGGTCTAATTCAAAGACCGAAACATGTAATATTTCGTTTTTTAATATATAATTTAATTTGTTGTTATTGACCCTTATATGCTCTATTATTACATTTATTTCGTATTTATTAAAACGTTACTAATGTAAATAAAAAATTTTACATATAACAAAAACAATTTTAAAATTATCATTTGTAAAAGAGACGCTTCTCTTGAATATTTCTTTAACGTAAATTCTTATAGTTCTTAAAGTATAACTGTATTATAAGCCAGGGAATGGAAAGTTACTTTTTAAAAGTAACAAGTTACAGTTACTCGTTACCGAGTAGGAAAAGTAACAAGTTACCGTTACTAGTTACCGATTTTTAAAAGTAACTCGTTACAGTTACCGTTACTTGAGAAAGTAACTTTTCGTTACTTTTCCGTTACTTTTTTTTAAATCGACGACCAACAATCA